CATTGGAATGGGGACCCTCCTTCCAGATGCCACTTTTTCGTCACACCCACACAATTATCATGACAGTGACACCAACCCCTGCCACCCTGGGACTGCTGGGTTTTGTTCCCAGAGAGGTTCTGCTGCTCCAAACACTTTTCCCAAACCTGAGGAATGCTCTGAACCCCCTCTGAGGGTCTGGATGTGCTTTGGGAAGGAACAATGAGGGGCTGGAATGCAGCCTCTGTGCACCACAGCACGGACTCTTTGTTTACCAGCTGCCTCAAACAACAAGAATCCCTGTTCCCCTTCCTGCTGTCTGCCGAGGAAGCTATTCCAGGCTCTCCCTGCTATGGGGTCTTTCCTTTATTTTCCAGGAGATGTTTATTCATGGACAGCTATAATCACTTCTTCTCTTGCCAGCACTATTTTAAGCACAAAGATTTCCTCTGCTGGTGCTTGTCTCCTCAAAATAATGACAGGTTGCAGGCAGATCCCTGGAGAGCATTTGCTTCCTCAGGAGCAGCAACCTCCAGCTCTTGGGGTCTCCTTTGTGTCAGCCTGGATCACTCCTGGTTTCATCTCCAGATTTTTCCCTGCTGGTGTCATTTCAGCTCTCTCTCCCACAGCAGGATAATCAGATTTGTGTATAATTCCCCTAATCAGACCCAGGAACAATCCACCGTGGCTGTGCCTCCCTGACCAATCCTCTGTGTGATTCCAGTTGCCCATTTTGGGCCACAATCGAATTATTGGTGCACTAAGGAGGCTGCCCCAGCCCCCAGCCCAGGCTCCCCCTGCTCCTCAGCTGTTTCCAATCCACCAACAACTACTTTAGAGCTCAATTGTTCAGTCCCAGTCTCCAACCATCCAGCTGTGCTTATTAGAATCCACAATTTCATTCTGCTATTATTGTTTTCACAATAACCCATTTCTTTTCGGGCTCAATCTGCCTCCTTAGCAGCAAATTCCCACCCTGGAGTGACCCTGAAGGGAACTCCACTATCTTTGTGTCCAACACTTCCCCCTGGAAAGCTTTTCATTGTCTGCTCCCCTTCAGCCAGTCCTAAACCCTCCCCTTCTCAGGCTTTGCAAACAATCTAGTGAAGTGCCAATTGAGACTGCAACAAATGAGAATGCACTGCAATTCTAATGGTTATTACACTAAAACCAAAACCAATAGTTTCAAACCAGTTCTATTTTATTTGGCTTTTTTGAGCTGCTGGTTTGCACGGTGATCTGCTTACAATTTGAATGTCGATATTTTCATTTATCAATATTTTTATTATTTTTTTTTTCCCTCCATCCTCTTCTCCGCTGTGCTGTCCCTCCCCAGAGCTGGCCCTCAAGAGGCTGACAGCTGCAGACCCAGCGTGGGTGGCTCGGCTGTCCCTGCCCCTCACCAGCAGCTACAAGGACAACATCTTCACCCCTGCCTCACCCTGCTCACCTGAGGACGAGGAAGCTGCAAGGCAGGAGAAACCGAGGACCTTTGAGACCTTTGGCAAAGGTGCTGGGGCTGACCCTGGTGGCTCTGGGACGAGGCTGGCCAGCACTTTCCTGTCGGAGATGAGCAGCCTGTTTGAGATGATCCTGTCCCAGAAGGTGCAGGTGCACAGCGAGGGCAGCGCGGGGCTGCTGCGGCAGCTCTCAGCCCGTGGGCACAGCCTGGGCCTGGGGGACGCTGCTCCAGGGATGTAGCAGGGAGACAACAGCCAGAGATTTGGGGTGCACAACCCATCCCCAGCAGGGAGAGAACAGCCAGAAATTTGGGGTGCACAACCCATCCCCAGTAGGGAGAGAACAGCCAGANCCCATCCCCAGTAGGGAGAGAACAGCCAGAAATTTGGGGTGCACAACCCATCCCCAGTAGGGAGAGAACAGCCAGAGATTTGGGGTGCACAACCCCAGTCCCAGTAGGGAGACAACAGCCAGAGATTTGGGGTGCACAACCCATCCCCAGCAGGGAGACAACAGCCAGAGATTTGGGGTGCACAACCCCATCCCCAGTAGGGAGAGAACAGCCAGAGATTTGGGGTGCACAACCCCATCCCCAGCAGGGAGAGAACAGCCAGAGATTTGGGGTGCACAACCCCAGCCCCAGCCCCAGCAGGGTCACTGCATGACCCATGCCCAGACAGGTGTTTTTTCCTCTGCCTCTCCTCATGGAATTTCTGATTTTCAGCTTTAGTTGCCCTCCACCTGCCTGGCCTTGTCTTCCTCCTCTCCCACCCTGCTCTCCCATCCCAGCCAGCAGCAGCAGAGCCCTTTCCTCCCAGGACAGGCCCAGGCAAGGGGGTTGTGAGAACAAGCACAGCACAGTGAGAACATCCATGTGATCACGGACTGTGAAAATACCTGTCATGGACATGGCTGCAGCTGGGCTCCAGGGCTTCAGTTATTTAAATAAAACCCTTTTTTTTTCTAACACTACCCTCTCTGTCAGCACTGTAGCTGACATAATGTATGTGCAGAAAGCCTGAAGTGGCAGCTGGGGAAGGGGAGATGTGCCTGTTGTCTCTCCCATGGGTCCTTCCAGCTTCTGTGGTTCTGCCACAGAGAACATGGCACTTTGTAAAAACCCCAAAATCAGCACTGGCATCTTTCCTATGGCTGCTCCAAGTGCCCACAGCTTCCTTCTCCATAAGGACTGGATGTGGCACTCTGCTCTGGGCTGGGTGACAATGTGGGCATCAATCACGGGTTGGACTTGTCCAACCTTAACAGTTCCATTCTAGTCTCTTCTCTCCTTTGAGGCCATTGGATTTTGGAGCACAGTTCTTATCCAAAAGCAGACACCAGATGGCTGGAGTCTGCCAAAGGTAACCTGGGAAAAGGGAAGTGTGAAAACACTGTTTTGAAATATTCAGTCACGAGTTTCACCCTTTTTATGGGTTTTCACTTTGATCTGTCTGTCTGGGAGCTGTAAGACAGTTTTGGGATAATAGCACGGGTGGGAAAACCAAGATATTGGTGACAAAGGAGGAAGCACAGAGGTGTTTGTGCTCTCTGAAGGGCAGTGAACCACGAGCTCATGCAGTGTGGGGATGGCAGGGAAAGGTTTCTGGGCCCTCCTGGACCATCTCAGCTATCCCACCCCTGTTCTTCCCCATGGAGCTGCAGGTGACAGCTCTCAGCTTTAGGTGTACACACACCTGAGCCACAGCACCAGACAAACACAGATCATCTAAAGCAGAGTAAATGAGAAAGTTCCTCCTTCCTGTTGCTCTTGGGACTGAATGACAAGAGGAATAGAGTGAGATTTCCCCAGGTGGACTTTTTAATATCCCAAATGTTGTGTTTTATTTCCAGTCTCCAAAATGCTTGTACAGATGAGCCCATGTCTGGCATCCATCCAGGGATGGGTTTGGCCTGGCCTGCTCGTGCTGCTGCTCTGCTAACACGAATCTCTTGCTGGTTTGTTTTACAAACAGAACAGGTTCTTGCACCAAAACAATGTCAGAGAGCCAGATTCTAACTGAGATGCAGCTGTGCAAACCATGAGGGAGGAATCTGTGACTGAGCCCTGGGGGATTCCTCAGCACCTTGGGAGCACAGGCAAAGGGACAAACACGAGCCCAACCTCACATCTCCCTCTGCAAAGTTGCTTTGATGTCCCTGTTAGAAGACAATCCTTACACAAAAATACCTCATTACAAGCAGGTTTAAAAGGAGACAAATTCCTCCCTCTTGGTTCAATTTCCTGATTTTGCAAACTGCTTCCAGCCCCCCCAGCCCCTCTCCCATCCTGAGCCATGTGTAAGCAGGCTCTGGATTATCACAGCATAGGAAATCCACCCCAGGAAATTCCTGCTCCTTGTATCCTGCTTGATAAAGGAAATGGTCTAAGAAAGTTTGGTCTGAGCAGAAGGAGAGAGCAGACCAGAACAATCAGATGTGTTGAGGGCTGGCTGTGCCCCTCCCTTGCTGCATGGAGAAGTTCAGGATGGGGCCATTGCCTTTGTTTTGCCAAGGCTGATCTCCACAAGAGCAGCAGGGCCACAGGAAGCTGGGCAGTTTGCACAGATGCCCTTGAACCAGTTCAGACTGGTGTGAACAAATGCCTTTTTCCGGATTCAGCTGCCCCAGTGGAAGGAATTAGCACACCAGCTGCCTGCTGCTGCTGCTGCCAGCGGTGCCTCCCCGCTGGGAGCATCCCTTATCCACTCTGCTGAAAACGAGCTGGCAAAGTGCTCAGCAAACAGGCACACGATGGATTGTGAAGCAAACCTTGCTCAGTGTGTCTCAAGAGAGGAGTTCCCCTGGGAGCAGCTCCCTGCCAGGGCTGCAGGAGCAGCAGTGGGGACAGGAGGACACTGCCACGGTGCAGGATGGCCCTGGACAGATGTCACCTCACTGCTACAACAGGTGGGATCTGTCACATCCCATAAAAACTGGGCCCTAATGATGAGAACTCACTCTCTTGCTTGCCCAGGTTTGAAAACAGATTAAAACTGTCATGATGGCAACACAGAGCCAGCCCACGCTGTGCTGCTAGCAGGGGCACTGTGGGGACTTGGAGAGAGACAATTGCCTCAGAGGGTGTGGGCCAGGACAATCCCAGGGTTAGTTGCCAATGTCCCCATATGGTGGCTTGTAAACCTCCCTGGGGGACCATGAGCAGGACACGCAGGGCTACTGGAATTAGAACCCCAGATCACACCACTGTGAATGGTTTGGGCTGGAAGGACCTTAAAGCTCATCTTGTGCCACTCCCTGCCATGGCAGGGACACCTTCCACTGTCCCAGGTTGCTCCAGGTCCCCATCCAGCCTGGCCTGGGACACTTCAAGGGATCCAGGGGCAGCCAGAGCTTGGCTCTAATACAGAAATGCAGGTGCAGAAGTGTGGAAGGTAAGAGGAGCAGAGGACTTGGTGATGGAGGAGATATCACAAGGTTTATTCTCAAACCCCAGGTATTTAAAAATACCTCCTGTTCCATGAACAGAGAGTTTTCTCTTTCCATTCACTGCCAGCCTGGTTCCTTGCCCTCTTGCCTGCTTGTGTCACTTGCTGCCTGCTCTAGTGCCAGCACTGCTGGGGCTCCCAGCCCTGCAGCTCCAGTGGCACCGTCCTGGCTCCCAGGGCGTGGCTCCACCCTGCACTGCTGAGCAGCATCACGTGCAGCCTGCCTGTGCTCCAGGACTGGGGCAGCCTGAGGCCACACTGTGCTGGCTGGCTGCTCTGGAGACCTGCAGACACAGGCTCAATAGTCCAGAAATTGGGGCTGGAGGAGGAGGCTCTTAATCCTGAAGGGAACGGATGCTTTGTGTGCACATCTGAAAGTACAGACAAACAAGGTGTTAGTGACATTGGCTGGACATGATCATACCACAGAACCACTGAATGAGCTGGAAAGGACCCCTAAGGATCACTGAGTCCAACTCCTGGCCCTGCACAGACACCCCAACAATCCCACCTGAGACCTAAAATGTCTAAATGCTTCCTGAACTCAGACTGTACCCACTGCCCTGGGGAGCTTGTTCCACTGCTCAACCATGCTCTGGGTGAAAAACCTTTTCCTGGTGTCCAACCTGAACCTCCCCTGACACAGCTCCAGCCATTCCAGGGTCCTGTCCCTGGTCACAGGGAGCAGATGCTGGAGCTGGCCCTGTGCTGTCCCTTAGGATGATGCTGAAAATCACAATGAGCCCTCAGTCTCATCAGCTGCTCCTCACAAGGTTTCCCCTCCAGACCCTTCCCCATCTCCGTGGCCTCCTTTGGACACTCTCTAATGGTTTAATGTCTGTTTTATACTGTGGTGCCCAAAAGTGCCTGCAGGACTGGAGGTGAGGCAGAGCAAAGCAGAGCAGAGCAGGACAATCCCCTCCTGGCCCAGCTGGTGATAGTGGGCCTGGTGTCCCCCAGGACACAGTTGGTCTTTCCAACAGAAATGATTCTGTGACACTTCACACTATGGGAACAGCTTCTCCAGCTGCACTGGGAAGAGCTGAGAAGGAGAAGTGGTGCCTTCCCTACAACACAAAGAACTCCTTTGTTCTGTGGCCCTGTGCCACCCCTCCCCTGGCAATACAAGCCCCATTTTCACGGGGTCACCTCCCCATGCAGTCCCCCACCCCTGGTACCTTGCAGCTCCTGCTCCCAGGCCTGCAGTCTCTCCAGGGCCTGCCTGTTCCCTGCAGCTGCCGACTGCTGGTAGTGCCTGAGTGCTTCTGCCAGGCTCTGCTGCACTCCCAGCCCCTGCTCGTAGCAAACACCCACGTGGAACCTGCTCTGGGCATCCTGGCACAGCCACCAGCCCAGGAGAGCAAACAGAGAGACTTTAGCACCTTCTTCAGAGTTTACTGCTCTGTCTTTGGTCATCTTGGTAAGTTTACTACTCTGTCTCTTCAGTAATTTAGTCCCCTGGAGAGCAGCAGAATCTCTGCCCTGCTCCTTCTTATCCCTTTCCAATTAAATTCAGTGATTTCCCTTCAACACCCAGGGCTGTGGCAGGGCAACAAAGGAGCAGCTGGCTCTGCAAAGCATCCCAGTTGTCTCAGAGGTCAGAGCTGAGGTGTCCTGGGCAGTGTCACATCCTGATCCCACCCAAACTCTGAGCACACCCTGAGACTGCCCCAGGAGAGGTCAAGCCCAAGTCTTGGAAAAACATCACAAATGGCACAGAGGCACTTGCTGCCAAGGGTTGGGAAATTCCCCTTTAACACAAGAGTGCAGCACTCTCCTGCTCAGCCCCACCTCATTCTAGTCCAGAAGAAATCTCAGGCAGCAGAGATGAAATAAATGAAGCAAATATGCAGCAGAGAAAAAGCACCTGAACCACTCAGACATATGTAACTGCTGGGAATGAACTGGAAAGCAAAGGCTGGCACTGCAGTGAAGGCAAATCCAAACCCATTACATGTTTATGTGTCAGCTGGGCACTTTATCTTTGAGATCCAGTGGGAGGCAAAGGGTGTCAGAGAGCAGGAAAGCAAGATGTCACTCCTGAAGACATGAAAAAGATTGCATGGACTCATGGTCACTCAGACCTTTCCAGCAGCACAACCTGAAGAGTGTGACTGCCACAAACATGATCTAAACAAGGCTCTGCAAAAAAAAAAAAAAAAAAAAAAAAAAAGCAGGAAAAAAAAAAAAAAGGCTTGGATCCACGGGAATAGCACAGGGCAGAGGTTTGTCAGTGTGAAATCCCAGAATTCCTCATCCTGNAAACAAGGCTCTGCAAAAAAAAAAAAAAAAAAAAAAAAAAAAAGGAAAAAAAAAAAAAAAAAAAAAAAACAAGTAAGTAGCAAGTTTTAATAAAGCCACGAGAAAAGAACATATTGCAAGTGTTGCTGTCTGGGATGTAGCTGGTAGAGACAAGTGAAGAACTCAGTGAGTGGGTGCTTTGCAAAATGTTGCAAGTCTCAGTTTATGACAGCAATAAACTCCTTTGGAGATGAGATAAACAAGTTGAAGGATTGGCACTTCAGCTGTGACAAGAGATAGGGTTCAATCAGGAGAGCTGCAGCACCATCTCTCCCAGGATGAACACCTCAGAGCCAAGACTGGAGCCAGGAAAGATCCTCAAATTAGCAGGGCAGAAGTGACTGTGACACCCTTGGAAATGAGAAACAGAACTCTTTAATAGGGCTTTATATTCTGTGGCTGCATGTAGGAAATCAGGAGGATAAAAAGTGGGAAACAAAGTAGAACACGCTTCTGGTGTTGGAAAAACACTTGTCAGAGCTCCCAGCTCGGCTCCAGCAGAGAGAACACCCAGAGAAATGCTGAATCCATGACTTTTTGTGCTGTTTTCCTTTTCCTGGATTCCTTCTAAACAGTGCTGTCCTTGCTTCATCCATACCCAGTGTTCTTGCAGCCAACGAAACATAAATTCCAGCTCCAGGATAATGGGAAATGAACCTGCCCTTGGAGCTCTTCTCCCAGGAAAATGGGGACAATCAGGGGACCCACGATCAGCCTTGGCCTCAAGGCTGAGGCTCTGCAGCATCCACTGAGCAGCAGAGATGGGGAAGGATGCTTGGGGTCTGAGAAGTCTGACCAAAACAAGGCAGGGGTGCACCTGAGGGTCTGCAGTTACCTGCCAGATCTGGGGTTGTTAAGGCATTACCAGTAAATGCCAATCATCTGTTTAATGGGATAACTCAGTGTGATACTGTTCAGCATAAACCTCAGGCTGAGAAAAAAGAAGCCAAGGATGAAGCTTAGGAGAGATCTTTAGCAGATTTAGAACTAAATACTGAGTATTGTGATGTCTGAGCTGCTGTGGTAAGTCAGGCCTTGTCCCAACAGACTGAGGGTGTCTCCATGCTGGAAAGAGGGTGAAAACCCAAGTGGGAAAGTTTACAATGATGTCACACCATTCAAAATGGTCAAACTTACTATAAAGAATTAATGAAAGAAGATCTCACACAACTAAGGAGTGGGCAACACAAAAAGGAACCAGTATTGCCAAATGCAAAGTAGTGCTGATAGCAAGAAATGTGGGTTTCACACTGTGACAGCTCCCTGAGACCATCTCATCACTGCTCAGTGCCAGGAAAAGGGCAAGCAGGGCCAGGAATTATTGGAAGGGAATGCAGAACAAAGCAGAGGAGCTCATTATGTGAGATCCATAGCATACCTCCATCCTGAGTCCACTTTTAGTCTGAGCATCTTAAAATGGTCAAAGGAGAATTAGAAAAATAGACAGAAGACTGACAAGCAAAGTAGAACAGCTTAACTACACAGAGACACAAACTAAACCAGCACTGTGCAGCCTGCAAAAGAAATGACTCAGAAAGGACACACTAAAGGGCACCACAACCACAACTATTAGCCAGCAGAACAGGCAATAGCTATTCATTATTTTCCATTGCACAAAAGCTGTGGGAACTGACGTTAAAATGAACAAGTTCTTCAGGAAAAAAAAAAAAACAAAACAACAAACTCTGGCCATTACAATGCAGCTGAAAACAAGGGGACAATGGGAAGAAAGAGAACTGTGGGATGCAGAAGCCTGGCTGCAAGACATGGGATCCAAACTCCTGCTCCTCTAAAGGCTGCTGGGGGTTCAGGAGAGTGCTGTGCCCACACTGTGACACTGCCCTTCAAAAAAAAGAAGCCTGGGCCACTTGGGGAAAGTGCAAGCAAGATTTTTGGGGGTCTAACATGACCTGTGAAGAGAAAAGCAACAATGGGGGAAGGCTGAATGGACATTCAAGTGTTTAAGTCAGTTAAAGGTTAAGTATGTTAAAGGTGTCTGGATTAAAAAAATAAATCCAGAAATAGTCTTTCCATCCTCTCTATAAAAGGAGAGAAACAATGGGCCAATTCTGAAGAACAGATATGAGATAAACACAATGAAGTTCTCCCAGTGATGCAGTAGTGAAAGCTTTTGACTGAAGAGGGTGTAGATGCTCCATAATGGGAAAGCTGCACAATTCTGGAAGCTGCACACAGGCACTGGTGCTGTAGGAACTCCTCCAGCCCAACAGGGCTGTCTCTGTGGGGTCTGTGCCCAGGCCCTATCTCCTCTTCAAGAGGCACCAAGGCTCCACTCTGTCCCTTCACACTGGGCAGTAAAATCCTGACACTCACTCCCATTCCAAAGAAACCCTGAAACCCTGCAGATCCCAAGCTGAAGACAATCCTGGCAGGATCACTTACCCCACTGTTTGCTGCCTGCAGCAGGTACTTCAGACCTCTCTTCTCCTGGGGCTTCAGCCCCCTCATGTAGAACACTCCAAGATAAGCCTGTGCCTGCAACAAAACCACACGGTTCAGATCAGCCAGGATTTGAATTATTCGTTTTTTTTACTAATTTTTCAGGCTGCTCAAATGCTGGGGTTACTGTGGCAAGGTGGTGAGGACCCTGCCTGGGCAGGGCTGCCCGAAGAAAAATCAGCATGACACAGTAAACACAAAGAAATCACATTTGAGACCCAGAGTATCATTGCAAACTGGCTGTGGGAGTCAGAGCCAGGGAGGTGACCTGTCCCCAAGATCCAGCACATGCACCCCCTGAGCTCCAGGAGGCACAGGCACTGCCAGCCTGGCATTCCCAGGATGAGATGGCACATGCCTAAATGCATCTCCTGCAGTGGGAAAGGAGGGCAGGAGACACAGATCTGCACAGATGAGTCATCTCAGAAAGTCACAGATACAAAATGAGGATCTGTTCTTGCTTCAAGCACTGCAAGTTCCTCCAGCACAGCGACCTGTACTCTTGGAATTGAGAGGAGATGAAAACTGAGCTGTGTTTTCACAGCTCTCCCAAGCCAAAGGTTTAATGTAGGAGCTCCATTAACAACAGACAACCAATGTATGGCTCGGTGTCCCTGTGTGCAGGCAGGGCTGTCTCCCAGACACTGCCAGGAATATCAACAGAGAATCAGAGAATGGTTTGGGTCAGAAGGGACTTTAAAGCTGCTTTAGTTCCAACCCCTCTGCTGTGAGCAGGGACAAATACATTGGAAGGTTTTTCCTCCCAGTGCCACATGCTGCTTGCTGGGATGTGGCTCCCAGCCTTCAGTCAGAGCTCTCTGACCCGTGGACACCAACCTCTGTGATCCCAGCCCCTGCTGCTTGCTCCAGGAGTGTCACAGCCTTGTGCTGCCTGTCCCAGAGGCTGCCAGGGCCGTTCTGGAGCAGGAACCTGGCATAGCGGTACTGGGCCATGGGGTGGTGGCTGCTGGCTGCCTGGCAGTAATAAAAACCTGCCTGAGAGAGAGAGAGAGAGAGAGAAACCCAGGTAAAGCATGCCCTGAACATGGCATGGCTCCCTTAGAGCTTCACCTCCCTGGCTACACCCATCACAAGCTGCATCCCTCCCCAGAGCCCTCCCATGCCAGAACTGGGTTAGGTGACAGTGGGCTGTGAGCACCCCAGAGCTCTGGAACCATCCTGGCTGCTGGAGATCAGCTGGGACAGTGGACTGTGACTATCCCAGAGCCCTCCCATGCCAGAACTGGGTTAGGTGACAGTGGACTGTGACTATCTCAGAGCTCTGGAACCACCCTGCCTGCTGGAGATCACCTGGGTCAGGTGGGACAGTGGACCCACCCCTGCCTTGCTCCACTCAGACACCCTGAGCTGAAGGGGGTGGCACTGGGCCAGCCATGACTCAAACCAAGCTGCCTTTGCAGCTCTTTCCCAGCTCCAGCAGCTGCTGGCCAGCTTGCACTAGGTGGCAGGCTGCAGTTGCAGGAGCCAAACTGGAGATCTGAGCAGCCCTGGGATGTGCAGTGGTGTCTTAAATACAGCAACATGACAGGTTTCTCCTTGGAACCCCGCTGGGTGCTGGTAGCACAGCCTGTGCACCTGGAGAACCCTCAGAAGCTGAAGGAAAGGGATCTCAGAGCACCTCTCTGAGGGGACTGGTGACACTGAAAGCAGCTCTGCAAAGCTGTAATTTTTATTATTTCCAGCATTTTCTACTGTGTCTTCAGAGCCCCCAGGGAATGGGCACGGCCTTGAGGCTGCCAGAGCTCCAGGAGGGGTTTGGGTAACACCCCCAGGGATGCAGGGTGGGATTGTTGGGATGTCTGTGCAGGGCCAGGAGCTGGATCTGGGATCCCTGTGGGTTCCCTCCAGCTCAGGATATCCCATGACTTTCCCACCCAGCTCCAAGCACCCAGCACAGACCCCTCTGCTGTTGTGTGCTGCCCACACCCGACCCCCAGGCCCTGGATACCTTTTCCAAGTCCTTTTCTGTGCCTCTGCCATGCTCATAGCACAGCCCCACGTTGAACTGGGCTTTGCTGTAGCCTCGATCTGCTGCCAGTTTGAAGCAGGTGAAAGCCACCCGGCAGTGCCCCGCCCTCATGCTCTGGATGCCTGAGGAAAACACAGCCTAAAACCACGGAAAACAGGGAAAAGCACCCAGCCACAACCCAGCCTCCACTGCAGCAACCTCCCCCACAGCCACTGGGCCTTCCTTGGCTCACACCAAGTGCTCTGGGCCACTTCCAGCTGGCTCACCAACCCTCACTCCACAGTTTCTCTAAGAAAAATGGCAACACTGCATTTTAGGGATTTTTCTGGGCTCGTGGCAGAGAAGGATCACAGGCTAACACCACGTATGGCTCACACAGAAACAAGTTGCTTTTCAGTGCTGCAACTAGTGGTGTATATAGGGCAGGGAACTTTTCTTAGCTCATTGCATCTTCCTTCTGCTTTTCTTAGAGTTGCAATCCTGCAATTGCTTTTTCAGCTTGCCAGGAAAACTGTGAGCTCAGACAATAAAAGAAGGGATACAAGGATATGACATCTTGTGTTGCAAAAAAGACAGAGATGGCTTAATTTCCAACTACAGATGTCAGGACAACAGTGCAGACTTCAAGCAAGCCTGGATTGAAATATGCTGAGATAAATCAGGTGGCACGATGGGACAAAGGGCAATAAATCTCTCCAAGCACAGTTAAAATTGCTGAAAGGAGGCTTCAGCTTGGGTATTTGCCATCCCTGCCTTCTCACAAGACCTGCAACCATTTGGAGGTCCTCCAAGATGAGAAACCTGTGGTTTAAGGGCAAAACAAAACCAACTCCACATTACCAAGGATATTCAAGGCAATGGAAATATCAATTCGGAAAATCTGCTGCAATTGGAAAGCGGCTTCCTCTAAATGCCCTCGCTGAGCTGGGTCACCCTGAGGAGTCAGAGAAAAAAAGCTATTAAAGACAGCTAAATCATATCAAGCCTAGAGGAGATTCTTGCTTGGAAAACAAGCAAGTGAGACCTGTTTGTATGGCAGTTCAGTCATCAGGAGGGTGAGGTCATGTGCCCACACAAAAACCTTCCTGTCCTCCACAGCCACCTCGCTGGGGAAGCTGGGTGGACATTCCTGCCCTGCCCTCTTGGCCAGGGAACTTGGTGCAGCCTCTCAGGCATCAGCAGGACTTTGAGAATTCAGTAAATAGCTGATCCTGCTCACAGCAGAGTGCAGCTCCTCCCCAGGGGCAGCACCCAGGTAATGGCTGGAGCTGAGCCAGCAGGCTCAGCCTGGATTTTGGGAGTTTCTTCCTCCAGATGGTGCTGGGGCACTGAGCAGGTTCCCCAAGGCTGCCAGAGCTCCAGGAGCAGCATTTGGACACTGCTGCCAGGGATTGTTGGGGTGTCTGTGCAGGGCTGGGAGCTGGACTCATGATCCTTGTGGATCCCTTCCAAACGAGAATATTCCATGATTCTAAGACAACTCCCCACTCCAAAAATAACATTACTCCTTGCTCCCTCCCCCACATGACACCCAGAGCAGAGTCCCTGCCAAAACATCCTCACACTTTTGCATGTGCCTGACCCAATTCCACCTGAGATCTGCCCCCAGCTGGACTGAGCAGTGCCCAGTGCTGCTGAAACTCTGCAGGGCACAGCCAAACCCTTCCCTCCTGGGCTCTGGGAGGGGGCTCAGCCCAGCCCAGCTCCACGGGGAATGGGGAAAATGCCCCTTGGCACCCACAGCTCCACTGGGGCTGCTCCATGACCCAGCTCCAGGCTCTTCCTCCAGCCCTGCACCTCCCAGGATGGGGAGATCCACGCTCACTCCCTCAGCAGATCAAGCAAATTGCCCTTTGGTGCCTTTTGCAGGAAGTCACTCTGCTAAAAACTGAATTTTCCTCACTCTATAAAAGCTGAATTTACCTCCTCTCTGCTCACAGTGTCCTTGAGCGATTGCTCAGCCGAGCAATTTTTTTAAAAAGGGAATTATCTCCATCTAAGATGTGAATTGCAAAAAATTGGCAGGTTTAATCACAACAAGAACAATAATATAATTTAAGGCCTTGTGACTCTCGAGCTGATGCACTCTCTTCAAGCCCCAAGTGCTTCCCTCTTTACCAGACAAGAGCCAGCCCTGATTTGCAGCATTTGGAGTGACACCACCTTCCTCAGTCATGGGTTGTCTGGTAAACACCAAAATAGCAACAGCATGTAATCACCTAGTGAAAGATTGCATCAAAATGCAAATCCACAGAACACACTGGTGCTGCTGAATTTATTTTTTTGTTTGGTTGCTTGGTTTGGTGTTTCTTGCCATTGTCTTTCAGTGCTTCTCTGCCAGCAGTGCTGCTCCACAGATACCTCAAAGGATGGGGAAGGCAGTTTGTAAATCCTGGAATATTCTGGCTAAAGCAGAGGTCAGTATATCCCATCTCCCTTTTTTTTTTTTTTTTCCCCTTGTGTGTGAGGGCTGTGCTTGGGGTAGCTCTGGGATGTGTTCCTGCAGGGAAGCTGCAGACAGAGGGGATGGAAAATGAAACCTTACCTTTGCACTGTGGAGAACTGGCCCCACCCTGGAGCTCACAGGGATTTGGAACTCCCCTGCATTAAAAAAAAAAATCCAACAAAAAAAGCAAAGTTTAGCAGTGCTGCATCTTTACCTCTTCTCATCCTCTCTATTCCATAGCTCCTTCCTAAAGGTCTGATCTCCCATTCAGTGAGGGACATCAGAACCAGGAGGAATCCCAAATAATCTGAGCTCTGGAGCAAAAGCAAGCTCTGGAATCCAGCCCTGTGTGGCTGCAGCTCCTCCAGAAAGGCCCCTGGTGTTGATGTGAAGACACCAGAAGTAGAGAATCTCTTGCTTCTCCTAAATGTTCCAGTAACTTGTAATCACTGCTTTAAACCTCTGTGCTTCATTTCAAATTAAAGTACTTCTACTCTGGGTTTCTGCTCCCAGGCACTGGCTCTTCTAGGTTTTTTCTTCTTTACTAAAAAGCCAATTCCTCCTTTTGAAAGTCCTGACACCACTAATCAGCCCCTCTTGATTCCTGTCTGTGATTCTAAAAAGACTGCACCATTCATGTCTTTCAACTGCAGCACTTTTCTGCCAGCCTTGGTTAATTTTATGACATTTTGCTGCTATTCCTGAATTTCCAACAGGGTTACTGAGGTGCAGCCCCTCTCAGCAGTGTCACAGGAGGGGTGGCATTGTCCCCTCAGAACTGATCCAGCTCCCAGCTTGCCCAGGGCATCCCAGCCAGCCCTGAGCTGAGCTGCTGCCTCCCCAGCTCCTTCTCCTTGCAGGGCACAGCTCTGCTTGTGCCAGGGCATGATCATCCCTCTCAGGTTCACTGACACAGCCACTCTGTGACCAGTTTCAATCACAATTATCTGACAGAGCATCTCCAGCCTGAGCTAAGCCACCTTGCTCAGAGCAGGATTGTGCTGGCACTGCTTACAGTGGCATTTGCTGTGACAGGGCAATGACCTCCACAAAGATGACAACCTGAGGCCAAGGATTTTTAACCTGCTGGATAAAGCAGCTGGATCCCACTGGACATTTAATTCCAGGTGCTGGAGCCTGATCATTCTGAGCCAGAGGTGTCTCTCCCTCTCAAGCTATGTGAGTAAAGTAAAAAAAAAATGTCCTTTTAGGGCCTGATTCCTGGATTCCTGGCACAGTTTGGCTCCATGAGCAGCAGCAATGAGGTGTGCAGCAGGCAGGAGTGCTCCCTGCACTGTGCCACACCGTGCCAGCTGCAGCCTCATTATTCCCAGAGAAACAATTCCCCCCCTTGGCTCTATTCAAATGTGTGTTATGTGGACAGGTCCCACTCACCCAACAAGCAAGATCACTGTGGCAAACATGATTCCTATGCAGCATTCCACCAAAAATAGTATAATCTGTGAATTTATTAGCTGTGCTGTTTCTTTGCAGAGCAGGCATCAAATTATCTGATATTTCTCACTGTAAGGCTCTATCGTGTATCTCCCTCGTGATGTAATTTGGGTTTTTGCCACACAAACAACTGCAAATCCCATGGAAAAAAAAATGGTCTGTATTAAGAATTCTCCCACTACTTGTTTAAACAGCATTAGTACATCCACACTTTCAAGAAACTGTACATTTTGCACAGATGTCTACTCCTAAATCAGAGACTCCTGGTTTACTGTGAAAATGTTGCAATTTGGACAAACCACTGAACCATGAAAAATAAACAGCCACTAATTCTGAATTCTCTCAGCCTGCAAAGCACCTTGTGCCCTCTACCATGGGAAACCCCTCTTCACTCAAATCCCCACAGATCAGGGTTAACATCTGGAAAAAAGCACAGGGACCAACTGATCCTGACACCCAGCTCCTGAAGGATCAGAGAGTCCCAGACCAGGTTTGGGTTGGAAGGGAACTTAAAGCTCACCCAGTGCCATGGCAGGGAAACCTTCCACCACCCCAGGCTGCTCCAACCTGGCCTTGGAGCCTTCCAGAGATCTGGGGCAGCCCCAGCTTCTCTGGGAGACCTGAATTCCCTCAGAATCACCTCTGAGGCTGGGCAAGCCAAATTATTCTTCAGCTTCTGTTAAAAAGATGGGAATATCACAGCTGGAATTTTTTTGTACAACTTTATTTCTAATCCTTCAAACCCAAGCTATGATGCAGCATTAACTGCACATTCTTTTTTTTCCAGGAAGTCTTGCAGCTTGCAGTGAGCTCTGGGTGCCCAACGCTCATATCTTCAGCAGTTAATAAATATTTTTGTCTCTCTTCACTGTTCATCCTGGACTAATCAAGTGTTGCTCACAGCTAGCTCCAAATGAGGAATTAATAATCTTCTCCTAGACAGCCTAGATTGCTCATCCCAAAACATCCACGAGAACGAAGTCACAACAAGAGCTGGCCAAAATCCAGCGTTTCTGCCTCGTGGAAAATTTCACTGTTTCCAATTGGTTTCATTGTGCTTTGAAATGAAAACACACTTTTGCAATGTCTGTAATCTCAGAATTGAAATAACGAATTTTACAGTTCTGCCAGGGGTAAAATACAACTCCCCAGGGCATCATTCAGCTGCTGTAACACTGAGACTGGCTGTAATCACCTGCTTGCTCACTCTGTGCCTTCAACTCCCAGCAAAAAGCCTCTGAGTGAGGCAGGAATTGCATGGAAAAAATAAGATGTGAACACAGAGCTGAGGACTTGCTGCAACAATATCCAGAATGCTTTTTAAAGCAAGTTTTAAGTTAATTTCCTGGAGTTTGCTTTTTAAACAAAGGAACAGATTTTGATCCTACTATTTTGATCCTAGCATCCTCCTTCTATTGTGCTCCAATAAAATTGGAATGGCTCTTGTGGAAAGCTGAGATGTTGGGATCCACCCCACAGATCTTTGCCACAACAACAGCAGATTGTCACTGCACAGAGAGAGCAGCACCAGCAAGTGTGGAAATGAACTGGAACACCCAGAGAAGGGGGAAGGACATGGAATTCTCTCCAGAAGATCCCTTTGCCATTGCTGGCAGCAGCAAACTGGAGCAGGGGAGGGACATTCTGCTGCACCCTGAGCTCTGAGCTCTCATGGCAAGGCTCTGCCACCAGATTCCCCTGCATCCTCTGCCAGGTGCCTGTCCTTCCCTTCCTTCTGCTCTCCCCAGCTTCCTGCTGCATCCTCGTTTTGTCAGCCTCGCCCTCTTTTCAGTTTTTTTCCCCCTAAACACCGGGGGAAAAAAAAAAAATCCTGTACCTCAGGCAGGTTTTTCTGTAGAAAGCAAAATGTAGTGAAAGAAAGGGATCATCAAGCTTTACTTTCCACGGAAAGATTCCCAGGATTTCTCACATGACAAAACCTTGCATTTTTTCAGGCTCTTCAGTGCAGATTACCAAATCTCTTCCTCCCTGACTTTTCTCCATAAATTCCCACAAAATGGATGCACAACATAATGTGGAATGTAACCCGAGGACTTCAGTATGGAGCAAAATGAAATGATTTCTGACATATATTATCTCTGACAAGTGACAGTTGGAGATGCTTGGGCACAAAGGGTGAGGAGCAGGGATTATAAAGTCACGCTCTCCCTGGCAGAACTTTCCAGCAATCAGCTGTTCTGTGATCTGAGCAGGAGGCTTGGCTGGACCAATTAAGTCTCATTTCAAAGTGTAATTTTACCTAATCACTTCTTGGAACCCGTTTGTACTTCTGGCCTGTGGCAGCGAGTTCCACAATTTACCTGGGTGCTGGCCAAACACAAAATGCCTTTTGCTTTTTTCTGAACTTGCTACCTGACCCTTCTGTGCTGCCTTTTGATATCAGGATTATGAAAAAGACTGTCCCTATTCTCTTTCTCTCAACACTTTTAGTTTCACAGAGCACCCAGCACATTCTCTGCCACTTTTTTTTTTTTTTTTTTTCAGCTGAAGAGTCAGTCTGTGCTTGGATGTAATTGTCTCCCTGTCATCTTTTCTCTGCATTTTTGTCCCTGTTTTTCAGGCAGTGTCTTCTCCTTAAGTGTTCAAGAGGTGGCTGCATCCCAGACTCACATGAACCCACAGCACTGCCTTGTCCTCAGCTCCTTCCTTCACCATAATTAACATTTAATTGGCCTCACTGCTGCCGAGCACTGACTTAACCTTATCAAAAGCACATCCACAGTGACTTTAAATGTTCCCTCTGCAAGACAATTATTAATTTGACACTCCTCACTCTGCCTGTGTATTTACAGCCACACTCCCCTGTGCACATTTGTTTAACCTACCTGGGGATTACCCTGGCTTTGGTTCTCCTGCAATCTTTGCCTCTGACTTTCACATTTGACGGTCCTGAAGAATTTTGTGTCATTTGCTGCTTCTGCTGCCTCGTTTGTCACCTCTTTTTTTCCAAATCGCTGCTGACTGTGCTGAACAGGACAGGTTTAACAAAGGACAGGGGAATCCTACAGTAATGGCTCTCCACTGTGAAAACTTTCTTGTGCTTTAAGGAGTTACCAGCCCAAGAGTAAGCCCTCCATGTTCCCTCACATCAGCTTTAATTCTTTAGATAGCTTTGGCTCAGGTCCTGTCTGGATGATTTTGGGAAAGCTAAAAGCTGGATTATCTTGCTCCACATGCCTGTTGACTTCTCCAAAGAAGTCTTAATAGATTTACAACTCTCTCAAGTCTCTGCAAGGGAGCGAGCTGGCCTGAGAAATGGCTTCCTAAATCCTTCCAAGACCTTTGATACAGCCCACTCATCCCAGCATCTCTATCCTGTAGCAGAGTTTCTATCAAACCAGCATCACCTTTTTTGCAGCTCTGTGCCTCAAACCAACACCCATCCACCCCTTTTTAAAAGCCAAGCTGTGCAATCTGTCAGTGCTCACACCCCTGGCCCCAGAGCAGGTTTGAACATGGGATTACAGATGATCCTTGGAGGCTCAGTGATCTCCCAGCTTCTGAAGAACAGCTGAACAAAGACCACGTGGCCTTAGTGACTTGTCACTGTTCAATTTATCAGTTTGCCCAAAAGCTCTTCCTGTTGACTCTCAGCAGGAGCTGTTTGTCAGACACACATTCACTCCAGGATGTTCAGCTGTGCCAACTGCAGGCATTGCTGTCTCCCCTTCTTCCCACCACTCCTCCCAGAGGTCCCTGTCCAGTCACCTGCCAGTGCTGGAGTGCTTCTTAATATGCTCCAGGCTAAAGCAGATGGGTTAAACAGTCTAATTGGCAGTTTAGGTAAATTAACCTGGCTGTTTTCCTGGAGTTAATTAGGAGACATGGAAACAAAATGCCCCATTTGCCAACTGATGGGAATGGTAACCTCTGGCAGGAGAAGGTTTGATAAGCAGTGATGGGCAGTAGCTGAAATCAGCACAGAAGGAAGCCAAAATTCTGAAGGAAGCAAAAAATGGGGAGCAGCTCTGAGCTTTTCTGCAGCACCTTCATTATTTAAATTCCTCCTTGTGAGGGTGCTGAGGCTCTGGCACAGAGAAGCTGGAAGAGATCTCTGGAAGTGTCCAAGGCCAGGCTGGACAGGGCCTGGAGCAGGCTGGGATTGTGGAAGGTGCCCATGCCATGGGCAGGGAACAAGAAGAGCTTTAATTTCCCTTCCAACCCAAACCAGTCTGTGATCCTGTGATTTAGCCAACATCTGGGGGTGGTTTCCTGATGTGCCTCTTCTACACCACTACTGAATGTTGTCCCCTTGCCAGCTGTTCCAGCAGGTTTCCTGCTCCCAACAACTTCCCTGAGGCCATTATCAGGGCTTCTGTATCTGCTGAGCTGTGACCTTCCTTGGTGTGACTTTAAATTCCCTATGTAGGACAAGCTTTCCTGGGTGAGACTTCAATTTTGTTGGAGTCTATCTTTTCTATTTTTATAAAACTCATTTTAATAATGTCTTTGATACCTCCTTCCACTGTCTTATCTATGGCAGAAGAGCTCAGAAATGCATCCTCATCTTGCAGGAAGGGAATAATTCCTTCAGTTTCACATCATGGACACCAGATGAATGGTGCAGCATCCTCCTGAATCCTTCTGGCTGCAAACATCTGTCCACAATAAAAGAACAAGACTGGGTGCTGCAATCAGTCTGCTAAGGCAGAGCAGTGCTGGCAAAGCTGTTGTCACCTGTGTTACAGCACAACCTTGTCTCTGCCTCCAGGAGGTTTTTTCCTCCTGTCTCTGGACTCTGATTCATCTCTCTGAAATTCTGCCTTTCCACTCTCACCTGCCTCCCCAGGTGTTAATAAATGGCTGCACACACTCCTTGGCTCTGAGCTTGCCTTGGAGGAGCTCCCAGCTCCTCGTGCCACGAGGATCCTGCCCTGCAGCACATGGCACATACCTGCTTCTGCCCAGGGCTGGCTCTCTCCTCGCCCTGAGGGGATGCCCGAGGAGGAATTCTCTGCTACAGCCTCTGCACTTGCTTTCTGCAGGATCTGGGAGCCCAGCTGCTGGCCAGGACAGCTGGATGAGGCTTCAGCCACTGCTGTAACACAGAGCACAAAGAGCGTGTCTGCTCCAGGCGACAACACGGGGCTGTGCATGTTCTCAGTGTCCTCTGACCACACCGACAAGCAGGGGGGAAAGTTCGTGCGGCAGAATCCAGAATGGAAAACAAAGGTTTCAAGGCACATAGAGTGGGATTGCATCAACTTGTTAAGAAGCAGGGATTCTCCTGACACTCTGCCAGGGCCCAGAGCGGCTCTCAGCCTCTCCCATTCTCACTGAGCACACACCACCAGGCAGGAATCCCACCCGCCGCCCTCCCCGGGCCACAGCCGCTGACCTGCGGGCTGCGAGGGCAGCGAGGAACACCAGGGAAGCCTTCGCTCCGTCCGGGAGTCCGGCAGCGAGCGGAGCCAGGCGATCTGCCGGAGCAGCTGCAGCAGCAGCGCGCCCACAGCGCCCTGCGGAGAGCGGACACCGTGAGGGGAACGTCCCGCTCCAAACCGGGACACCGTGAGGGGAACGTCCCGCTCCAAACCGGGACACCGTGAGGGGAACGTCCCGCTCCAAACCGGGACACCGTGAGGGGAATGTCCCGCTCCAAACCGGGACACCGTGANCTCCAAACCGGGACACCGTGAGGGGAACGTCCCGCTCCAAACCGGGACACCGTGAGGGGAATGTCCCGCTCCAAACCGGGACACCGTGAGGGGAATGTCCCGCTCCAAACCGGGACACCGTGAGGGGAATGTCCCGTTCCCACCGGGACACCGTGCGGGGAATGTCCCGCTCCAAACCGGGACACTGTGAGGGGAATGTCCCGCTCCAAACCGGGACACCGTGCGGGGAATGTCCCGTTCCCACCGGGACACCGTGCGGGGAATGTCCCGTTCCAAACCGGGACACTGTGAGGGGAATGCTCCGCTCCAAACCGGGACACTGTGAGGGGAATGTCCCGTTCCCACCGGGACACCGTGCGGGGAATGTCCCGCTCCCACCCGGCCCCTTCTCCGCTCGGGGGTCGCCCCGAGGTGTTGCTGCTCACCCAGGTGACGGCCTCCCGCACGGAGTAGCGGGGCACCAGGCCTGGCAGTGCCTGCCGCCGTCCTCCTCCTCCTCCTCCTCCTCCTCCTCCTCCTCGTTCCGGCCCATCCTGACACGCGGGCGCCCTGTAACAACAACCGCGCACACACGGGAGCCGTGAGGCCGCGCCGCCAGCCCGGGGAACGCTCGAGTCGCACTCACCGAGCCGCACTCACCGCTCGGGGCTGTGCCCGCGGCCGCCGCTCAGCCCCGGGGCACAGGCGGGACGGGCGGGGGTGGGAGCGCAGCGACCCCGGCCCAGCAGCAGCCGCCACATCCCGCCCGCCCCGCCGGCAACGCGCGGGGCATAGAGACGGGCGGAGCGGCCGGGCACACCGGGCACAGCGGGCACACAGAGGATGAAAGGCGGCTAAAGGGAGGGCTGGCGGAGCGGCAGCACGGTCACGGAGCGGGAATAGAGCGGCACGGGCGGCACGGAGCAGGGAAAGAGCGGCATGGAACGGGGATAGAGCGGCAGCAGCACCATAGAGCGCGGGTAGAGCGGCCCCGCCGCCATGGAGCGCACACAGCGCCGCCCGCGCGGGAGGTCCCGTGAGGGCACCGAGGGCACACGGGGGGACAGCGGGGATGAAAGGCGGCTAAAGGGAGGGCGGGCGGAGCGGCTGCACCGCCACTGAACGGGGATAGAGTGGCACGGAGCGAGAAAAGAGCGGCGGCAGCACCATAGAGCGCGGGTAGAGCGGCTCCACAGCCACGGAGCGCACACAGCGCCGTCCGCACGGGAGGTCCCGTGAGGGCACAGAGGGCACAGCGGGCACAGCGGGCACACAGGGGGACAGCGGGCACACAGGAGGACAACGGGCGTGAAAGTGGCTAAAAGTAGGGCGGGCGGAGCGGCAGCACCGCCACGGAGCAGGGAAAGAGCGGCGTGGAACGGGGATAGAGCGGCAGCAGCACCACAGAGCGCGGGTAGAGCGGCCCCGCCGCCATGGAGCGCACACAGCGCCGCCCGCGCGGGATGTCCCGTGAGGACACGGCGGGAAAATCTGCAAAATGCGGAATATATAAAAGGTTTCTGAAGAAAGGGTGTTGGATCTCTGTCTGCTTTCCGGCCTAATCAAGAAGGGTGATTTAATCCGTGAAACAGCGGCTCACAAGCTCTACGTGGTGCCCAGGTGTTGGAAAGATTTGTTGGTGGGGTCACCTTGGTAATGATGCTGACATTTCAGAGTTAACAATTTGTCCAGAGTGTAACAGGGAATGAGAAGGGGTTATGGAACAGCGTGCTGCCTTATTGTTGCAGAATGTGGAATAAATTAAAATTAAGGAAGGATGTTCATTGATGCTTCATCTTTGTATGCTTTCAAGCCATATCAACAAGAAGGGAGATTTAATCCCTGGAACAAATAGCACCTAACAAGGTCTAAGTGATGTCCGAGGTTTAGGGTATTGCCTGGAAAGAATGAGCTGGAACAGAGACCAGAGAGAGCAAAAGGAATAAAATGGGTATTTATTGAAAGGATTCACCTCGAGCAGTGCAAAAGCCCGGCCAGGGCTAACCCAAATCAAATCCCAGCTGAATCCTGGGCACGAGTTTTACACTTTTATCAGTTTTGGTTCATCTGCACATTGGGGTCAATGATCCACCCACAGCCCCAGGCTATGAAGTCTCAGCCCCTGCCTTGCCCCCTTTCCCTCGCTGCTGTTTCTGCTTTTTGGGTGCCAGTTGTCCTTGATTGTCCAGCTAGAAAGGAATTGTTTTGTCTGAGTCCCCTGTGAAGAGAACTCACTGACACCTAATGTGAAGTTTCAGAGTTCCACACTAAGCAGCAGAGATTCTGAAAAATATAAAAGTCAAAACTCAAGGCATCAAGTGCTGGACAATTTTCAGTGACCTCAGACCCCAGGGAGGTTGAGAAATCTTGACAAGAAGGATGTGCCACTTATGGTGGGCACGTGGCAGAATTTATAGATCACAAGATAAGGAAGAAACTGATAAAGCCAATTCAGCAACGGGCCTGAAATCAGCTCAGAGTGGGTAGAAGGTAATTCCAGCAGGGGCAGGACACAGCCACTGACCCATAGCCCAAGAAACCGCTGACCCAAAAGAAAAGAAAGACTGAGCGTGGGACTAATTAGCATGAGAAGCGAGAGACTCATTAACCAACAGAAGATAGAATACTAATTAATAGGAGAACTAAGTGACACGCAGCCAGTGAACACTGATGCCTTTGTTTGCTAAAGTGGGAACTGTAAATAAATCAAATACCTCGACTCTGTCTGGATCAGCCTCTTGCACATGGGGGAAAGAAACTATTTTGGGATAAAGGGAGAGTCCCTGGGGATTTGCTGCCGTTTGGGGTGGGGGATAACTCCTCCTTGGAAAACATGGATAGGCTTGTCATAGCCAGGTTGTTCCTGCAGTTTTGGGGTGTCTGTGAGTGCTCCCTGAGCCCTGAGGGTGACAAAATACAGGAATTTTATATTATCCACACCTTAACATTGGGGAGTGCTGAAGGATTTCTGTTATTGCATTATAAACTGAATAAAATGCCCTTTCCTTACCCAGAGCTGCACCCAACAGAGACCACGCCATGCCAGCCTGAGAAAAAAAATCAGCTTCATGTCCTCCTCAACCTGGTTTTCCACCAGGAGTAGGAATATTGCCCTGCTAATTCCAGCTGAACACTCTCATTTATTTCTTTGTTCCATAAGCACAGACATTCTTGGTCATTCCAGCAGTTGTCTCTCTTTGTGGAATGTGGTGTTTTCTGTGCTGGTAATTCCTGTTATGAGCTCAGAATTCTTGTTCAGTATTAGCTGTGGTTTATGCTTGAATGGCTGCAGGTTTAATTCCAGCTCTCCTTCATCAGCCTAAACACTTGCTTTAAACCACCAAATTTCTCTTGGTGTTCCACAGCTTTTTAATTTTTTTTGTTTTGTTTTCAGTTTTTTGTTTTGTTTTGTTTGTTTTGTTTTTCTGGTGTCATATGGGACACAAATCCTTTATCCTTTTCACCCCAGATTTGGTTTAATAGTGTAATTACAAAGTCATTTAGTTGCCTGTTTCACTAAATGTGTCTGTAATTGTCTCATGTTAGTAGACTGGTGTTTGCTAAGCTACTACAGTTTGTTTGGGGATGAAAATTACATGCAAAATAGAAATATCAGCATCTCCACTCTATAATCTTGCCTTAATTTTCTCGCTCATCAGGTTGATACTACTAATTAATGCTCCAAAAACTGAACCTGCATTTGTTGATATTGGTTCATCCACCATCTTCTCAGCTGATCACTGAATTTTTAATGCTTTGGTCCTGGTTTGCTTTCAAGTCCCCAGGCAGGTGGTGAGGGATGCTCTCTGTCTTTTCTGTGACAAGGCAGGAGCAGAGTTGGTCTGCTTGGATTCCTGTTGTGAGGATTCCCTGGGAGCTGCAGTGCTCATGGTGCTCTTGTGTGGTTGTGTCTGTGACACTGGAGAAGGAAAATCAAGGATGGATGGATGGATGGATGGATGGGTGGATGGATGGATGGATGGATGGGTGGATGGATGGATGGTGAGGGGATGCTGAGAGACGAGGAAGCAGCTCTGCAGGGAAGGACCAAGTGGCCAAGGAGGCCAGAGGGATCCTGGGGTGCTTTTCCACCAGGTCAGGGGTGATCCTGTCCCTGTGCCCAGGCCTGGGGACACCTCTGGGTGCTGTGCCCAGCCCTGGATCCTCAGCACAGCAGGGACAGGAGCTCCTGGAGCTGAGCAAGGGCTGGAATCTCCCTGGAGTGCCCAGGAAAGGCTGAGGGAGCTGGGGGGGCTCAGCCTGGAGAGGAGCCCCAGCTGAGAGGGGCCCCAGTCCTGTGTGTCCCTGGGTGTCCCTGAGTGTCCCTGGGTGTCCCTGTGTGTCCCTGTCTGTCTGTCCCTGTCTGTCTGTCTGTCCCTGTGTGTCCCCGTGTGCAGGGAGGGTCAGAGCAGTCCCAGGCTCTGCTCCAGGTCCCAGCAGTGGCACCAGAGGAAGGGGCAGGGGCTGATCCCAGGAATTGCCCCTGCCCAGGAGGCAGAACTTGTGCCCTGGGCAGAGTGTGCAGAGAGGCTGTGCAGTGTCCCTGCCTCCCTGGGGACATTCCAGATATTCCTGTGCCCTCAGCTCTGGGATGGCCCTGCTGGAGCAGGGAGGTGGCACCAGGTGACCCAACCTGAGCCAGGCTGGGACTCCATGAAGGGACCTGTCCTGAGCAAGACAAAGCTGAGCTGGAAAAGCTCAGAGCTGTGCAGGAACGAGGCTGAAGGAGGAAATGTTGAAGAGAGAGTGGCTCAGGCTGAGGCAGGAGAATATTCAGACTGTTCCACCTGAGCTGGGCTGCTGGGCTTGCCCAGCTCAGCCAGTTTGTGTCCTTGCAGCTTGAAGGCAGAGTGGAAAGGACATTAAAGAGGAGGAGGAGGAGGTGACCACCCTGAGGGCTGGCTGCAGGTGCAGTGTCTTGCTGCAGTTTTTCTGCCTGCTGGTGCTGGGATTTTGCTCTGTGCACCCAGGGGCGGTGGGGGACGTGGCCAATGTCACTGCAGGGTCACAGCAATCAGGAGAGGATTCTGCTGACTGAGAAAGGGCAAACAGCATCCACTCGCTGCAGAATTCTTCCCTGAGAGGGGGGTGAGGCCCTGGGGAAGCTGAGGATCCCTGGAAGCATCCAAGGCCAGGTTGGACAGGACTTGGGACAGTGGAAGGTGTCCCTGCCATGGCAGGGGTGGCACTGGATGAGCTTTGGGGTCCCTTCCCACCCAAACCATGCTGGGATTTTATAAGAAGGGTAAGAAGAAGGATTGGACAATTCTAAACCATTTGATTTAACCTGACTGTCTGGAAGGTGATGGGGAGCTTTCTCCTGCACGCTGTTTTTAGCAAGACCTGGAAGAGTCAGGATGGATTTAAAGACAATTATGCCAAAGGAACCTGATTGCCTCTGTGATGAGACTGGCTCAGAGCACAAGGGGAGAGCAATGGGTGTTATTTACTGGGCTCTGCCACACTGGGGTATTTAGCATGGGGTAAATGAGCTGTAAATTGGATGGAAGGCAGCCTGGATTGCTGGGCTCAGCTGCTGGTCAGCAGCACACAGAGCACACCAGAAGGGGCTGAGAAAACTCTGCTTGTTATCATGATAATTGTAGGAAAATAAATACTTTGCTCCTGAGGGAAATAAATAGCGTGCTCCTTAAGAAATATATTTATTTTGGTTGGAAGAGGGAACCAGGCTGGTTGTGGAAAGGAAGCTAAAAATAGAAGTGAAAGTTCCAGAAGGTTAAACACATTGTGAGTTCTTTTAAAAACCTTTGTAGCTGAAATCACTCTTTCAGTCACTGGCTTGGACACTCATTAATGCCCATCCCCTCTCAAAGTGCAGAAAAAATGAATGTATTTCCAAGGTGTTGATTATTTTTTTGAGGCACATTTGGCACTGGAACTTTATTCTCTGGAGCTGGTTCCTCTTGTCTTGTAGCGGTCTCCTGCTAACTTCAGGTTTCATCTGCATTTTTATTTTTCTGCATCTCGAGCAAAGTAACTT